TTTGACCCCAAAGGGGAAAATCCAAAATGGCGCCATGAAGCTTCCATTTCACAGGTAATTTGACCCCAAAGGGAAAAATCCAAAATGGCATCATGAATCTTCCATTTCGCAAGTAATTTGACCCCAAAGGGAAAAATCCAAAATGGCTCCATGAATCTTCCATTTTGCAAGTAATTTGACCCCAAAGGGGAAAATCCAAAATGGCGCCATGAAGCTTCCATTTCACAGGTAATTTGACCCTCAAAGGGAAAAATCCAAAATGGCGCCATGAATCTTCCATTTCACAAGTAATTTAACCCCAAAGGGGAAAATCCAAAATGGCGCCATGAAGCTTCCGTTTCACAGGTAATTTGACCCCCAAAGGGAAAAATCCAAAACGGCGCCATGAATCTTCCATTTCACAGGTAATTTGACTCCAAAGTGAAAAATCCAAAATGGCGCCGTGAACCTTCCATTTCACAAGTAATTTGACCCCCAAAGGGGAAAAAAAATCCAAATGGGCTTCCTCCGATCAATATGGCGCAGACGGATATCACCAGGTAGAGAAGAGACCATAATCTGTCTGCACGGCTCCCATCCGTTCCAGTTGGACTTATAGAGAACATCCTGGTAGACTGGGCCAGCCGTAAAAAGAGTCTTGCTGGATCAGACCAGTGATCCATCTAGTGCAGCATTCTGTTTCACACAGGGGCCAACCTGCCGCCTGGGGCCAGAAGATCTCCTAGCATAACAACTGATCTGACCGTAAAGATTAGTTCCCCTGCAGAGAAGGGCGGCTTTGGAGGATGGACTCTATGGCAGTATATCCTGCGGAGCGGCCTCCTCTCACCAAACCCGGCCCTCATCAGACTCCACCCCCCCAAATCTCCAGGAATTCCCCAACTTGGAGCTGGCAACACGACCTGGAGGGCTAACAAACAGGACCAAGAGGCCAAGGCCTTCTCCCCATGCTGCCTCCTAGCAGTGGTATTCAGAGGTTTGCTGCCTGAGGTTCTCTTTTGTCACCACGGCCAGTAGCCACTGATGGACCTCTGCTCCATGAATACGCCTAACCCAGGGGTGGCCCACTCACTAGGCCCCTCTAGGTGGTCGCCTCAGGTTCCCGGGCTCCAGGCTAAGAAATACCTGGAGATTTTGGGGGTGGAGCCTGTGGATGGTGGAGTCTGAGGAAGGGAGGGGATTCAGTGAGGTTACACAGGGCTATTTTTGGGCAGGAACGCACAGGAACGGAGTTCCGGACGGCTTCAGAGTTGGCCACGCCCACTACAGCCAAAACCTCTGTGTGCATGGCTACAGAGGTAAGGCCTGGGGAGCAACACCCCCCGGCAACTCCGGGGCAGACGGGCCAGGGGGACCCCTGGAAGGATCTAAATGCCTCCCCCGGCCTGTCGGCTGGCTTGCCGGGACTCCCCGCAGCCGCAGGGTGCCCAGGCAAGCCAAGGGAAGGCATGGGGGTGTGGCCTAATATGCTAATGAGTTTTTGCTGTTGGGTGTGGCCTATTATGCTAATGAGTTCCTGCTGGGCTTTTTCTACAAAAAAAGCCCTGGTGAGGTATAAGGCCAAAAAAAAACCCCACCTTCCGAAGCCGCCGTCTTCTCCAGGTGCACTGATCTTGCTGCCTGTTTACCATCTTCCTGTTTCCTGTCTGGGCATCCTAGCCTAGAGCACCCCAAATCCTTGGGCAGGCCCTGGTCTAACCAGCTGCCGGCTCTGGGTTGGGAAATACCTGGAGATTGGGGAGGAGTGGAGCCTGTGGAGGAGGAGGGATTTAGGGAATGAAGGAATCTCTGCAGGCGACAATGACACAGGGTCCACCCTGCAAAGCAGCCATTTTTCTCCAGGGGAACTGATCTCTGTTGTCTGGAGATCCGTTGTAAGTCTGGGACATCTCCAGGCCCCACCTGGAAGTTGGCAATCCTGAGTCCTGGAAATGTTTCCTTCCATTAAAGTAGAGCCGCCGACCCAGCTTTTAGGGGGAACAGGGCAAAGGCCGTCTTCGGCAAAGAATCACAAAGGGCAGCCGACCAGAGAGCCAATGCGGTGTCGTGGTTCAAATGACCAGCCAAGGAAGCCCGCCGGGTGACTCTGGAGCCCGTCGTCCACTTGAAGACTAACCTACCTCTCAGGGTTCTTGTGAGGATAAAAGGGTGAAGGGAAGAAAGATGTAATCCACTTTGGGTCCCCATTGCGGGGAAAGGTGGGGTCTAAATGAAGTAAAATAAATAAATAAAACATCCAGTGGCATGGAGCTGGGCGGAAGACATTGTGGTTAAGTGTGCGGACTCTAATTGGGGAGAACCGGGTTTGATTCCGCACGCCTCCACTCGCAGCTGCTGGATGACCTTGGGCAAGCCATAGTTCTCTTGGAGCTGTCCTTGAAAGAGAGCAGTTTCTGTCAGAGCTCTCTCAGCCCCACGTACCTCACAGGGCGTCTGTTGAGGGGAAGGGAAGGGAAAGGAGTCTGTAAGCCTCTCTGAGACTCTGAGTGAAGGGCGGGGTATATATTCAACCTCCTCCTCTTCTTTTTCTTGTTCTTCTGGATGACCTTGGGCAAGCCGTAGTTCTGATAAGAGTCCTTGAAAGAGAGCAGTTTCTGTCAGAGCTCTCTCAGCCCCACCTACCTCACAGGGTGTCTGTTGGGGTGAGGGGAAGGGAAAGGAGATTGTAAGCCACTCTAAGACTTTGAATCCAATCTCTTTTCTTCTTCTTCTTCCATATTATTGGGAACAAACGATTAGGTGGTAGAATCTTCAAGAATGACAATAAAATGTATTGCTCAATGCAGAATTAATGTATGGACTTCGTTGCCGTGTGGTATGAAGACAGATAGTAGCCTGCTACTTTCTAAAAGATGCCGATACCTTCAGGACGGGCTAAAGGAAATAACTGCTTTACACAGAGAGGGATTAAAACGTGGATTTCTCTGCCGGAGGATGTAGTGATGGCCACAGGAATAACCAGCTTTAAAAGGGGATTAGATGGATTCACAGAGGATAAGTCTATCAATGGCTACTAGCTATGGTGGCTGAGGGGAACCTCCACGTTCAGAGGCACTAATCCTCTGAATCCCAGGGCCAGGAGGCAACATCAGGGGAAGGCCTCAGCCACTGTGTGAGACAGGATGCTGGACTAGATGGACCACTGGTCTGATCCAGGAGGGCTCTTCTGATGTTCTCATGAAGGCCTCGGCCTCTTTGCCCTGTTGTTGGCCCTCCAGAGGACTAGATGGACCACTGGTCTGATCCAGCAGGGCTGTTCTGATGTTTTTATGTTTATATTGATGGTAGCGCTACACTTGGCTATTTGCCGTGATAGCTAGGAACCAGAACCTCCGTATTCAAAAGTTGTATACTTCTGACTAGTAGATGTTGGGTGTCAAAAGCAAATGATAGCCATGCTTTGTTGCCATCTTCCTTGGGGCATTTTGCTGTACATTGTTGAGACAAATGCCTGAATGGGGACTGTATTATCCTCTCAAGGCATGACGTGTATGTATGAATGGGCCATCGCAGATCTAACACTACACATACAGTGTTCCCGTCTCCATTGCAGCAGACAATTCATAGATATAGCTCCCGTTCATCTTCTTGTGAAACCTCGTCTTGTTCCGCATGTGTGAACCCAGTTCCTGGGAGTGTTGGAATAAGCTGGACAGTCCTAGCGTTTCCAACTCTGGCTTGAAAAATTCCTGGAGATTTGGGAGCAGTACCTGGGGAGGGTCGAGTTTGGGGAGGGAGCTCAGCGGAGATGTGGTGTCACTCTAGGAGTTCCTTTGCTCCTAGATTCTATGGTAGTTCCCAGGGCGTACCCTGTGAAGCTGCCATTTTCTCCAGGGGAACAAATATCTGGAGATCTGTAGCAGTAGAAAAGAGCAAGAGTCCAGGAGCACCTTTAAGACTAACAAAAATTTGTGCCAGGGAGGAGCTTTTTGTGAGTCACTGCTCACTTCTTCAGAAAGCTCCTCCCCTGCCACAGATATTGTTAGTTTTTCAGGTGCTCCTGGACTCCTGCTCTTTTCTACTGCTACAGACAGACTAGCAAGGCTACCCATCTCGATCGATCTCCCTGGAGATCCAGGGCTATTTTTGGGCAGGAACGCACAGGACCGGAGTTCCTGCCGGCTCCCAAGTTGGCCACGCCCAGCAGGAACTCATTAGCATAATAGGCCACACCCAACAGCAGGAACGCATTAGGATTGGCTACATTAGGGGTGTGTGGCCTAACATGCAAAGGAGTTCCTGCTACAAAAAAAGGCCCTGGGTTTTGATAACAAACAAGGTAAACAGAATAACAAGCAAAAGGTGGGTGTGGCTGGATAACCACACTTCTGGTAACATGTGGGTGCGGCCTAATGTGCTAATGAGCTGTGCTGTCAGGGGTGTGGCCCAATATGCTAATGAGTTCCTGCTGTTGGGTGTGGCCTATTATGCTAATGAGTTCCTGCTGGGCTTTTTCAACAAAAAGAGCCCTGTAGGAGATCTGTTGTAATTCTGGGAGAACCCCAGACCCCACCTGGAGGTTGAAACCAAAAGTGAGAGATCACGGGAAGCGATGGAAGTCCAAACAAAACATCCGTGACAAAAATAACGAAGAGTCAATAAAGATAATATGCAAAATTGTTTACTATAATAATTCTGTAGAAAACTCTCTTCTTCTATCGCTCACACGCAACGGATTTTGCGCAACGTAAAAAAAAATCCATTTCAGAAGGATTGCTTTATCTGAGCGTGTAGCGATTACAATTCTTAGCAATTTCCACTTATCAACATTGCGCCAAACCCGTTGCGTGTGAGCGATAGAAGAAGAGAGTTTTCTACAGAATTATTATAGTAAACAATTTTGCATATTATTGTTATTGACTTTGCGTTATTCTTGTCACGGATGTTTTGTTTGGATTCCCACCTGGAGGTTGGCAAGGTTAGCTAGACCCCCCCATTGTAAGCCTGTTTTCTTCCGATTCCCAGGCTGTAAGCATTGCGGGATCCCAGCGAGACGCACCATGGACTCAGCCAACCTGCCGCTGTTCTGGATATGGTCGCTGTGGGCCTTCAGTCCTCACCCGAGCTGGGTCTGCGGCCAGCAACCCACGCAACCCCACTCCATCAGGATCGAAGGGGACATCACGCTAGGCGGGCTGTTCCCCGTGCATGCCCGTGGCCCGGCCGGAGTGCCGTGCGGGGATGTGAAGAAGGAGAAGGGGATCCATCGGATGGAGGCCATGCTCTACGCTCTGGACCAGATCAACAGCGACCCCGACCTCCTTCCCAACATGACCCTGGGGGCCCGCATCCTGGATACCTGCTCTCGGGACACCTACGCCTTGGAGCAGTCGCTGACCTTTGTCCAGGCGCTGATCCAGAAGGAAACGTCCGACGTGCGCTGCTCCAATGGCGAGCCGCCCATCATCTCCAGGCCCGAGCGCGTGGTGGCCGTCATCGGGGCCTCGGCCAGCTCCGTCTCCATCATGGTGGCCAACGTCCTTCGCCTCTTTGCTGTGAGTAGAGCTCTTCCAAGGAACGTTTCCAGGGAAGGGGGGCGTAAGAATTGGCTGGGTTGTAGGGTTGCCAGCTATGGTTTGGGAAACACCTGGGGATTTGGGAGGGGGGTAAAATAGGGTTTCCGGGTCCCCCCTGGCCACTGTTGGTGAGTGGTGAGGTAGGGTTGCCAGAGGAAATGAGAGATAAAAATGTACTAGGCAGGTAATGGTTTCACCCATAAACTTGAGAAAAGAGAAGGAAAGTGTGCCTGGAATTGTAGCCTAGTGAACGTGTCGACGATTCAAATGTGGAATTTGCTGCCAGAGGATGTAGTGATGGCCACAGGAATAAGGAGCTTTCAAAGGGGATTCGATGGATTCATGGAGGATAATTCTTTTTTTATAACTTTATTTTTAATAATTTTCTTAATAATACAACAACCATAACAATAAACAAACCAGAAATATTAAATACATATACATATTCAACACTAAACTTTTCATTAATAAAATAGAAAATCAACATATTTTGCGGGTAGCACAGTCATATTATCTTTAACATTATTTATATAATCAAAAAGATTAAACCATTTTTCATGGAGGATAATTCTATCAATGGCTACTGGCCATGGTGGCACTAAACCTCTGAATCTGTTGGCAGAGTGTAGATATGCAGTAAAGCAGAGCACAAGCTGTTTAAATAATAAAAGTAAGTGTATTAAGAAGGGAACAAACTTTGTAAGAAAGAGAAAGAGAAGTCTATCTACGTAGCTAGAAGGGCGTCAGTAATGGTTCTCAGCAGGAGCAGGAAAGAGCCCTAACTGAGCCAATCAGGAGACAAGAAGGAGACTTTTTGAAAATAGTAGGAAGCCCCTCATCTCACTACGCTAACTAATTTTCCCATCTGCTGCCCCCTGCAGGATGTTCTTGCCATTTTCTTTATCTATGCACAATAGACCTTGCATATTCTAACAGAATCCTACAGCCAGAAGGCAACACCAGGATAAGACCTCAGCCTCTATGCCCTGTTGTTGGTCCTCCAGAGGAATTGGTTGGCCACTGTGTGAGTTGGGATGCTGGACTAGATGAACCACTGGTCTGATCCAGCAGGGCTCTTCTGGTGTTCTTCTGAAGGGCTCGGCCTCTCTGCCCAGTTGTTGGCCCTCCAGAGGAACTGGTTGGCCCCTGCGTGAGGCAGGATGCTGGACTAGATGGACCACTGGTCTGATCCTGCAGGGCTCTTCTTCTGTTCTTATCAGGGGAAGGCCTCGGCCTCTGTGCCCTGTGGGGATTGAACCTGGGACCTGTGGGGATGCTGGGGACTGAACCTGGGACCTTCTGCATGCCAAGCAGAGGCTCAGCCACTGAGCCAGGGTCTCAGGTCAAGGTCCTTCTCATCACCTCCTGCCTGGTCCTTTGAACTGGAGATGCCGGGGATTGAACCTGGGACCTTCTGCATGCCAAGCAGAGGCTCGGCCACTGAGCCAGGGTCTCAGGTCAAGGTCTTTTTCATCACCTGCTGCCTGGTCCTTTTAACTGGAGATGCTGGTGATTGAACCGGGGACCTTCTGCATGCCAAGCAGAGGCTCAGCCACTGAGCCAGGGTCTCAGGTCAAGGTCTTTCTCATCACCTCCTGCCTGGTCCTTTGAACTGGAGATGCCGGGGATTGAACCTGGGACCTTCTGCATGCCAAGCAGAGGCTCGGCCACTGAGCCAGGGTCTCAGGTCAAGGTCTTTCACATCACCTCCTGCCTGGTCCTTTTAACTGGAGAAAGTGCTGTGCCACTTTTCGTCAGAGGTGAGATTAAAAATAAAAAGGGAAGCAAAATACACAGTGTGTTTCACATATACACACACTTTTGTGAAGCTTAGAAGTTGCTTCTCTGTTAAACACCTCAGTGTTACAGTAATAAATTTGGAGCAAAGAAGGGGTGGTTACTCAAAGAGAAGGGGTGGTTACCTAAAAAATCCTAATTTGTGGAAAGTAGGGTGGCACCTGGAGATCTCCCACTAATACAATATGTCAGAGCCCCTGGAGAAATCAGTTCCCAAAAAATATCATTCCAAAAGAAGTAAAGTTTATTGAGACATTGATAGGATCCAGATTCGTGGCGTACTTTGTTAGGACTGAGGTCCAGCGTGCAAAGTCAGCAATTATAGCATAGTCAAATATACACCTGTGGCTCTTGGCCAATCACTTCTAAGCTAAAAGCCCGCCAAGCTGCGACCAGAAACGAAACCATACATTCCAGTTCGCACACACCCCACCTCTCCATGGCAACCAAGCTCCAGACAGGCGCTTTGGTTGACACAATAGATCTCTAGACAAGCAAGATCAGTTTGGTGTAGTGGTTAGTAGTGCAGACTCTACCCTGGGAGAACTGGGTTTGATTTCCCACTCCTCCACATGCAGTTAGCTGCTGGTGTGACCTTGGGTCAGTCATAGTTTTCTCAGACTCAGAGCTATATTCTTGGCCCCACCTACCTCACAGAGCGTCTTTTGTGGGGAGAGGAAAGGAAAGGAGACTGTAAGCCACTCTGAGACTTGGAGTGAAGGGCGGGGTATAAATCCAATCCCTTCTCCCTTCCCTTTCCCTCAGGGCTCTCTCAGCCCCACCTACCTCACACAGGGTGTCTGTTTGTCATCTATGCTGCCATGGGGCTGGGGAGTTCATTCTGTGTCTTGTTAATTGCTATTGCATTCCTATCCCTGCTATCATGCCTTTGCTGAAATGCTTATCTCTACAGATGTGCAGGAGGAGGTTGTGTTGTTTGGAGAGCTCCTATGTACCGTGAGAGACTCCAAGTTCTCAGCTTTAGCCACCTAACGGTTGCCTGACTTATCCTGCGCACGGGAGGGTGCCTAATTGGCCAAGGCCATGGGGGGGATGCATACGAATACCCTATATCCTACTATGCTCTACTGGCTGGGGCCATTCTTAACAGTGCCTCTGTTACTGCATCTATAGCTTTGCAATAAAAGTATAACCATTCCTGAATGCGCGTACTTTGTTGTTAGCTGTGGGTTCTGACACTGTTGTGGGGAGAGAAAGGGAAAAGAGACTGTAGCTGCTCTGAGATTCCTTTGAGTAGTGAAGGTTGGGGTATAAATCCAGTCTCCTCCAGTTTGGTGTAGCGGTAGGGTTGCCAAGTCCATCTTCCACCCCCAGCAGGGGACTTTGGGGGCGTTCCTGGAGGGGGCGGGGCATCCCGATGTGATTATGTCACATTGAGGACGTCCGCCGCCCCCGCCCCCCCCGTGCTCCGGATCTCCAGAAACGGCAGTTCCCTGCACTTAAAGGAGCCGGCGTTTCTCTTTAAAGTGCAGGAGCCGGCGTTTCCCCTTTAAGAGCAGCCACGTTTCCCTTTTAAGGCACGAAGCCGGCATTTACCTGCAAGCCTGATCTCAAGCGGAGATCGGGCTTGGGGGGAAACACGGGTTCCACACACTTAAAGGGAGAGAGGGAGGTGGCTGTGGGTGTTGGGGGTGGGGCAGGTAGAATCCCCCCCAAAACGGGGGACCCCTGGCAAACCGGGGGGTTTGGCAACCCTCTGTAGCGGTTAGGAGTGTGGACTCTAATCTGGGAGAACTGGGCTTGATTCCCCACTCTTCCACATGTAGTTGCTGGTGTGACCTTGGGTCAGTCACAAGTTCTCTCAGAGCTGTTCTCTCAAGGGCAGTTCTCGAGAGAGCTCTCCCAGCCCCACCTACCTCACAGGGTGTTTATGGTGGAGAGGGGAGGGAAAGGGAAAGGGATTGTAAGCCGCTCTGAGACTCCTTCGGATAGTGAAAGGAGGGGTATAAATCCAATCTCTCCTCCTTCTCCTCCTCCTCCTCTCCTTCTTCTCCTCCTTCTTCCCCTGGAGAAAATGGCTGCTTGGGACTCGGGAGGGTGGGCTCTGTGGCACTATATCCTGCTGAGGCCCCTCCCCTTCTCAGACCCCACCCTCTCCAATCTCCAACTCCCAAATCTCCAGGTATTTCCCAACTCCTGGCAACCCCCGTAGAAAGGCAAATCCGAGAGACAGCAGGGGATAACCCAACAGAGTGAATGAAATGATCAGAGTTAATGAAAAGATTTTGTGGAAGGTGACTTTGAATAACCAAGAGCACAAGAGCGACCTGTTTTAGTGCTTCCACCGTGTTTTCAGCAACTGGGGAGAAAAACCCACCTTTCCCCAGGCCAGGCCCTTAGCCAGGGTTTCGTAATTCAGGGGGCCTCTAAATAACTCGGGGGGCGCTGATGTCACAAAACCAAAAAAATTAAAATACATGTTTTAAAAACTCACGCGTGTGAAAAAGATTTGCTTTATTATTATTCGCAGCCAAAACAACCATAGCTTCGAAATGGAAGTCAGAAATTAAACCATCCCTAAACTTATGGTACAAAAAGTTATGGAACTTATACATCATGGAAAAAATATCCGACATAATGAATCCAACAAAGTCTACTGGCGAATATAGTGAATTTACAATGATATGGCTACCGATCTTATCCCAGCTAGTTTCTCAAGGAACAAGACCAGAGATAATAGACACTCTTCGTTTGTGGTAGATGCTGATGTCAACACCAAGGGTGCATTCAGACGGGCAGCTAATCCCGTCATTATGCCAGTTTGAATTTTATCCCGATCTTTTAAATCCATCGTACCACGACCAGACATCCCCCTGGCGAATCGCCTTACCACGCACTGCCTCTGTTGTGGATTGTCTAGATGGCGTCCACTGGAGGAGGCATGCGCGGTGGGTTTTTTTTTTTAAAAAAAAGCTTTTTGTGCATGTGCATAGGCGTCACAGCGCATCCTTGTTGATCCGCGCATGTGTAGAGATTTTTTTAAATGGTGCCCACTCGGGATGGTCTGACGTCAGACCACCCCGATGGGAGGATTGCGCGCTGGTGGAACGATCAGACGGGGGAAAGTCCACAGTTGTCCCGCAGGTAACCAAAACCCCCAGATTTAAAGTGCTATCTTTTAAATACGGCTCCGAAGCGCGGCAAAAGGGGATCCCCACGGA